GGAGGCAGCTGGGGGCTGCAGGTTAGGCCTGGTGGAGGAGAAACAGACGGGGTGTGCATCCAGCCACCGCTCTATCCTCTTACATAATGTCTCAAGTTCAATATAGCCCTGGTTGTCTATTTAAAGCGCGCATGTCTAGGCCCGCTGACAAAAAGGTGATATACTTAGTAGCCGCAGCGCAGCATGAAAGCCCCTGCTCGGGCTAAATTGGTCACAGACAAGCCCAGGGTGTGGGTTTTGGCAATGTTGCGGATATTTTTAGCCCGGCTGGTGATCCGGGCTATTTACATGAGGTGCAAAACTCGCACACCCCCCATTGCCAGATGCTTCACTCTGTGTAGCACCAGGAAGGCAACATAGCAGAACTCTGGCAATCACTGCGAATGTTTTGCAAAGTGTGTCAGCAAGCAGAAGCCGAATAAATCATTAGCGCTGGCAATGATATGACCAGTGGTGAAAAGCTTTGAAAGGAGTTCTTTAGTGGTACGATAGCGGCTAATAGCACAGGGTATCCATAGTTTGTGACTTTACATGGAGTCAACAGTACTTATCAAACACAGAGTCGAAGTGGCTCTGGGCATTAATGGTTAATAAATAACTACTTCACAGACACATCCAACCTTTTTTTAAACAGACAACAAGAAAGTTCAATTTGGTGAGAAGCAGAAAGTAGTTCAAACACGACAGAAAGAAAATGAGGATACAGAGCGATCACTTAAAAAGTCTTCATAATTGTCTCTCTTTAACATAGCACTCTGCAATTTTATTGCAAAATGTATCAGCAGGCAAAAGATTAAAATGATGGAATAATCAACTTTTCAATTTGTATAGAGTGATGAATTGGCAGAAAAGCAGTATGTTTGACATTAAACTAATGCTTCTCACTAAGAGGTCATATTTGCATTTTGTGAATAATGTTTTATAGGCTCTCTTTTTTCCACTTAAAGGCACTTTAAACAACCGTCTTACCATTAGCACATTACAGCTGTGGTTCATTTAGTCCATTTCCCATGCATCACAGGAACATTTTACCAAATGCAATCTTAGTATTAAAAGCAAATGCATCATACATTTGCATGATGATATTTTGCTAAGATTCTCCGCATCTCATTTGACTATGCAAAACTAAGGGCTTACTAGATTGAATGTGTTGATGGAAAAAACATTGAATTGAATGAGCTTTTCTGCAGAAATTGAAGACTTAAAAGACTAATTCAAAATACATTCGGTGTATTTTATTCCACATTTGCCATTATTTTCTGTAACAGTAGGATAACTTTAAATCGCAATAAAAAAGTAATATGTATACCATTAAAGTAGTGACACTCCCGTGATGTAGAGAAATAAGCAGATACAATTTGAGTACTTCTTCCTGTAAAAAAGAAGCCATAGGCGATAATATGTCGGCAAAGAGAAGTTAGTATTTGTATTAGCAGCCAAAGCTAGCGAGACCATTGTACTTCTCCCTGAAGTGAAATGAGCGTGACTTGAATATTCAAAGAACAGTAGGCATGACAGTATTAACCGGGAACTGGGTTTAGTTCTGAAATGATCAAATCAACGTTTCCTACAGAAACCTGGAATAGCCTTTATACCTTTTCAAACACTTTTGACCCTTGACCTCATTAGCATTAAGTGCTATTTCAAGATCCAAAGTAGGGCTGAGAAAGACTTTATTGTTGTGTCCAGTGGTTGAAAAAGTACATTTGCTCAAGTACTATACTTAAGAATAACTTATTCACTTGAGTATTTTTCACTTTATGCTACTATAAACTTATATTCTACAACAATTTAGAGGCTAATAGTACATATTTGACCCAACTTCCTGTATTTAAGAGCTTTGGTTACTAGCTACTTTAGAGATACAGATAATAAATATCAAATCATTTAGTATTTTATTATATATTATTGTAGGTTAAGCTGCCCAAAGTAAGTCAAATAAACGTCACCTTTACTTTGCATCACTAATTATAACAATAAATTGAATTGTATGATTATGAAATGTGCTATTATGCATAATAAGTACCTTTATTGTTGTTACTTTTAATGCTACTAGTTTAGTACTTTTACCTGTATTTTTACACCATTTTATTTTACTTTAACCCTTTTTTGACTTTTTCACCTCTAGTTCTGTTTCTACACTATCTGTATTGTTTTGCGTCTGAATAAAATGTGAAAAGAAACCCTGACAGTAGTTCGGAGCACTCGTGGAAATGTTGCCGTGCTATCTCATTCCCCCACATGGCTGTTGTTTTCCTGTCGGCTTATCCACAACACTGACTCACTGCTCTCCGCTGGTCAAATGACTTTCAGTGACAGATGAGGTCTCCTCTATAAACAAAGTGGGGGGCAGAGGTGATTTCCAATAGTGGAAAGTTTGATATACTACACACAATCAACTGGCGAAATAAAAAAGAATCAGCAATGTGAGAGATTCCCGTTTATCACAGCGTTACTCTGAACTCTGTCATGGTACTAAAACAATAAGGGACATTCCAAATGGTTCCTTCAAATAATATTGACTATGAGAATAATGATCTAAAAAACCCTCATGAGCTGGAGAGTGATTCTGTTATCAACAGGAGAGCAGGTCTGTCTGATCGACATGGCACGCCATGTAACATTGTTCCCCTGTGGTATTTCAGCTCAGGAAGTAGAGAACGAGCCACAGAGCAACAGTCCTATGTGTTTCTGCCGGTGACGAACCATGGAAACCGGCTGAGATGAAAACAACTTCAAACTCTGTCTCAGTGTTTTCCCACTATCTCGGATCGTAGCCTGCTGGTGGCTTCTGTCAACTCACAAGGGTTTTTGATCAATGGTTACCAATTTAAGGCTACATTTCCTAGAAATAGATTTCATAAAGTGAGGAATTGTGGCACTAATAGTCAATGTTTTTTAACCGATATTCCTATCACTTCTCAACACATTTTACTCACTGGTCTTATTAATGTTCCAGTTTGGAAAAACCCTGCTAAAACCCACTCACACCTGGCTTTGTCTTAAGTGGGAAAGGCTACAATCGGCATTCATTCCCAGAAAAGAGGCAGAAATGCATACTCTTGTTCGCAACTATTTGTTTTTTTATAGCTCTAATGTTATAAAAAGCAGCATACACGCTCATTTTGATTTCTTTTAAAAGGGTACTATTGCTATTTCAGATAAGAAAGCAACACTAGACCAACATTCACATCAGTAGGTCCTGCTAGCGAGTCGACAGCTTTTAAGTCCAATTGAGTCCCGTCATTTCCCCAAATTCAATATTTGGAAGTGAAAATAAAAGTGAAATGAGAAGTTTAAGGTGATTACCCAAATTGTCTATTGCATTAGTTAACTGAACCATCAAACGGAAAGGACTCCCCAACATCCTTGCAATCGTCTGATGAATAAGCAGCAACTGGACTAGGTTTACAAGGATTTACAAGTTACAATATTACTGTCTAAGACATACCTTTTGAGACTCTATTGTGAAAACAATTTCAAGTTAGCATTCTACGAAGCATCACAGAAATAAATGACTTTGTGTTTTGTGAAGATTATATTAAAATCAGTAGAATGGCTCTTTAAACTCGATATCATTACACCATCACAACTTTTAAGAGGCATACAGGACACAACAGTCACATGTCACCCTGGCACGACACATGTGCAATCTTTTCCACCCATATCGTGCTATTTGTATCAACTATAAACTCCCTGATTGCTGACATTGCATTTTTCTTGAGTCCAAAACAGCCATAATGTACAAGAAACAAGGCGATAGCTGGAGTCAACATTTCTGAGGTCACCTTGCATAGAAATCTGCACCAGTTGTTTTATACCATTAATAAAGTGTGTGCTTTACACCACTGTGTAAATGTGTGTATTTTACTGCAAAAATCACATACCACAGCAAACGACACCAACAAAACACATTTCTATTATGATAACTTTACTTATTCATGTCTCGGGTTACTCGCTGGAAACCACCTAGAAAGAATAATCTGACATTATATAAACAAATAATGGTAAGTCTACATAACTACATGTACACTTATCTACTCATGTTTATGCTGTTCATCACAGCTCCTAATTCCTCGCACTAAGCGGGTCAATGTTTCAGGGAGATCTACAAAAAGCCCACAGACGCACTCGAGGTTAATAATATAAAGGAAGAATAGTGAGTTATTGTAAGAATAAATATACATTCTATTCACACTACCAAAGCTCTCAGAGTGAAGCCACATTACATTCATGCCAGGACTAAAAGTATACATTTTGTACAAGTATACAACAGAAGTTTAGTATGGTTATAAATAAAGCATTAATAAAGGTTTTGTTTAAAGGAACAGTAACTAATAACATTGAAACTTAATTTTGTGGTTCTTGACAATACATTAGTGAAACCTTTGTTGATATGCACTTATGGAAATGTGTTACATGTTTACTATAAAACCATTTCAGTGCTTGGATTCACAGGAAGCTTTAAGCCAATTTCCTGCACTGTGCACGAAGAGAAACAAAGAGAAAGGGCAGACCGAACAAACCTAGTAGTAGAAAAGAAAAGTGAGGATACAAATGTGTAGGATGCACGACAATAAGGTAGACACATTTAGTTGAACTTCTCTGACTTAGATGCTACTCAATAATAACTCACATGACTCATAAATGCAAGTCATGAAAACTTGACGCAGGTTTTTTAAACTGTAAGTTAACTCTGCAGCGCGTCTCCGCTTTAATTTGTCACCACACGTTTAGCAAATATAGTGTAGCTCTGTGCTAGTTCCTAATTTAACCGGCAAACATTTAATATATTCTTTAAGTGAAGTTTAAATATGAAGCGTCAAGTGCGTCTCTCACAGGGGTCTGACTGGAGAAAAGTTGAGGCGCCCTTCTTTTCTCTCTCCAGGAGCCTCACTTCAGTCTCGCCAGGACAGTCTCTGGCGGCTCGTGCAGTGTGGAGAGGTTTTTCAAAATGAAGGTTTTAATAATGAAAGTCTAGAAAAGTAACGCGACTTTACCTGCGAGATGTCATAGCAGTCTCTGGAAGCTGTCAAGTGTCCACAAACGTTTCCCTTTAGCCTCTGCCGAGTCGCTGTGAAGAGTGAGAGCTGTGGAACCTGTGCGAAGAGCTACACATGACTACTGACACCGTTTCCGGTTAATGCCTTCAAAACAAAGCCTCGTCTAAAAAAAAATATCACAAAGATAAAGAGATCATTTCAACTAAATGTGTCTACCTTATTGTCGTGCATCCTACACATTTGTATCCTCACTTTTCTTTTCTACTACTAGGTTTGTTCGGTCTGCCACTACTAGGTTTGGTTCGGTCTGCCCTTTCTCCTTTGTTTCTCCTTCGTGCACAGTGCAGGAAATTGGCTTAAAGCTTCCTGTGAATCCAAGCACTGAAATGGTTTTATAGTAAACATGCAACACATTTCCATAAGTGCATATCAACAAAGGTTTCACTAATGTATTGTCAAGAACCACAACATTAAGTTTCAATGTTATTAGTTCATGATCATTATCAAATGAATGTTTTTATATTAAGGCGTCTGCACAGGAATCTTTATTTTTGATGTATTTTAAGATGATGTTTCTTTGTTTTGAAGTAGTAAAAAAAAGGATGTGAGAAAATTATTATCAATTATTTGGCTTGGCTTTTTAGTAAAATCAAAACTAACATAACAATTAAGTGGTGTTTTTATAGCACAACATCTTGTTTTAACCCATTATCACCTTTAAAAGGATATTTAAAAAGTGTATTACTTTTATTTTGACAATCAAGCTTCTTTTCCTGTCCAGTTCTGACTAAACCCAGCTAACTTGATGCATCTTAAGGGAACATTGTTAAAGTTCTATGGCATATTTAGGTTTATGAAGGAGGCTTCATAAAGAATATACAGTTGAAAAAACAAATCCAATGAATAGAAGGTTGACTCCTCACTAATAATCGTCTGAGTCACAATGGAAGCTGAAAGCAGGGGCACACCCCACTGCACACCTGTTACTGTATAGGCTAACTGTTCATTAATTAATGAGCCAAATCTACACAGCCTTGTTGATCAGCTGCTGCCCATTATGGGACGTGGAGGAATGGAATCTGCTTGAGCTAAAAGTATTATAGTGCTATTATTGGAAGCAAAAATGAAACAACTCCATTATAAGTATATATTATGATATTGCTGGCAACCCAATGACAAAGCAGCAGGGTAGTGTTAGCAAACTGCTTCTTTTCTCAGTTAAAGTTCCTTTGGATGAAAGTACATTAGTGTTTTTACCATTCAAAAAGTGTTCGTAAGACACAAAACAAGACTACCAGCAAAAATGTACAGCCATATCTCATCGATCAAATCATATTCCCTTTTTAATATTTAATCAATAAACCCAATGTTATACACTTTTTACTCATATACTCACCTCTATCAAGAAGTTATACACATGTCTACTTGTGGTTAACGGTACTGAAAAACAAAGATTGTTTTGTTATTTGTTTTGTTATTTAACAAACATTTTCTTTCCCATTCAGGTCTTTTGTGTTCACCAATGATGCAATAGTAGTTACTTAAACGCCATAAAAGGCCATAACAGGTAAGTCTTTATACTCAACTGTAAATCCAGATATGTGTCAAAACAAGTCAGGGCAAACCGGTAGGCAATCCAAAATAAAAACATTTTACAATGAGAAAGAAAAAATATTAGAAAGTCTTATAGTGGTTAAATTATTCGAACGGAACAATATAATGTACTTGTGCGGTGCTTTGCTATTGTACATTCCTGCTATTGTCTTGTGAGAGGTAAAGCAAGTCTAAAAATATATACCTCCTATTCAGTTATACCCTCATGATGGGACAGCCTTCCAGCTCTGAATCCTATGGTTATCAGTGGAGGTTAATCTACTGGGGGATGGAGGGGCTTATGCAATTGTCTGTGCGCTCACAGGCTTCACATCTATGGATTTACTTTTCCACTGTTTGACCCAGAGTGCTGCTGCAGCCTACAGACAAACCCTAAGATGATGGAGAAGGGAATTTCGATCTCTCTGTAGCATTTCTGCTGCCAGAGTCTAAGTGTTGTTTTCTTCGCCAAATGAAATGTGCTCCAGGCAGGATACATGGGTTTGAACATAGGCTTTATTGTTTTGGTCTGGTGGGCACTTTAAATGATCCTGTCGCACAATGGGAGGGCTTTACTCTCCGATCGATAGAAAGTGGAATTGATGAGGTTGAGAAAAGGCAAAATATTGGAGTAACACTGAGTGCACATTTAGTGTTTAATAGCCTACTAAACGTGATTGATACAAGACTGAGAAAACAAAGTCATTACCGTTTATAAGCTGCTTTGGATACCCTTTGTATATCTTGTGTTGTTTTAAAAAAATAATTATAGGAAAACCGTTATTATACTGCACCTAAATATACATACTTTATGAAATAGTTTTTGGAAATTAGATCACTTTGGCTTCTGTCTGCAAAAAGGTCAATCAAAGTTTATTTTAGTGTGGTTGTGTAGGGAGGGGGATTGAATTTAAACACTGTAATAGCTGCACTCTAAAAAATGCTGGGTTATTTCTATAAACACATTGCTTGGTTGATTTGGCTGGGTCATAATTATGGGTTATTTGGGTACTGTAAACACACTGGTGGGTTGTTCATGCTGGGTCAAAGGGGTTATTAGGGTTTCAATTGCAGTTGAACACCTGCCTGGGTTATTTTTAACCCAGAGGTTGCTTTATTCACTTTCCCACTTCTGAATCATTCTGGAACCATCTTTTTTGTCATTTCTCACATCAAAACACATTGAAAAAACTGATTATGACCCCTTTTAGATGTTACATGTTTTAATAGCCTTTTTAAAAATATTTTTGAATGTGTTATTGCATCCGTCTTATCTTTTTTAATTAATCTTAACATATATTGTCACTGTTTAAAATTAGCTAATTTCCTTCATTTAAAAGTAGCCTAATTAGAAAAAAATAAGTACAATTTAATTACCACATATACTGTCCTGTCTGCGCATGTGCATACACAAGCAGCCCGCCACTTTTCCCTCCATTTTCCATTCGGAATCTGAAGGACCGAACTCAGCTGCCTGCGTAGCTCCGCTGTCGTGAGGTGAAGGTTCTCTACGGTTCTCCGTTTTAAGTAAGTAGCTCATTTATAGCCTTGGGTGTATTATATCATACTTAAACAGGTAGCTTTATAGCTAACATTAACGCTATCGACTGTGTTTTGATCAGGTTTTGATAGATTAACATTAGCAACCGTTAACATAGGCCTACAGCAGTTAGCTAACTGTTAACCTAGCTTAGTTGTGTAGTAATGTTTAAGTAACCTAATTGAAGTTTAACATGCAACATTAACATTATAAGATAACTTGATACTGCTTTCAAATTAAATACGTGATAAATCCAATCTTTGTCTTGTTAGACTTTCTTATTAGTTTGTGGATAATACAAGTTGAATGTTAACTGCCTGTTACTATGCTTTTTTTTGTAGCTTCACCTTCCCCGCTGCCCTGGCTTATATACTGGCCATTCCTACTGTGTTCCTGACCGGCTGTAAGAATTTTTCTTTTTAACTTGTTCTTATCATTGTGGTAATATAGGACACAACTACACATGTGAAATCACGTTGGTAAGGGAGATCTCTCCCCCGTCTGTGTGCGAGGGGGCGGGGCAGTTTATACACACGCGGCTGCTACATGCATGCAACACACACACACACACACACACACACACGGTGGAGAGAGAATTAAGCGCTCCGAGGTGTGGTTAAATGTTACTCGTCTTGAGGTGGACAATGCTCTTTGCCAAAAGTGAGAAATCATTTATTGCTTTTTGCTATAGAATAGAATGTAATCATTTAATGTCATTATACATCTACAATGAAAGAATTAAGAAAAGCTTCTCACTTTTTAAAAGGTTCCATCAAGTGCAATAACGGTTGATCATGTAAGGGCACACAAGCAATTTGTCTAAACATTTAGCAAAAGTGCACCACATCCAGTCATATTTAGGCTCTGTAATAATATTAAACTTGTCCGAAACCGTTTAGCGGTTTTGTAAGGTAAGAGGTCGATATTTTCTTTGTTACCGTAAAAATCGTGTTATGTTTAAGTGCATTTGTATTTCGTAAAAACTAAATTTTGTCGAAACTCCTCCTCCACATTGGGAAGGAGTGAATTATGTACTTTTGTACAGAAGGGTTTCCAGGTAGTTGGTAAAGGGTGGTAAAAGAGGGTTTGGAAACTCCAAACTTAACCACAAAAAAAAAAAAATTTACCCGTAGCCAAGTGTTCTCGCCGACCTTCTTTTAGGAATGTCAGGTCCCCGTGACATAAAACAACGAAAGTCCAGGTTCCCTGAAAACCCCCTTTCGGAAAGTGGGTAGGGTAAACCCGTTCTCGTGGAAAGAACTACTTTAAGTAGATCATCAATGGAAATCGAAGAAACACCCATTCGGTACAAAGGTCACTATCCTCCTGAGGGTCCGTAGCTAACCGTGTTCGAGCCCCGATGGTCTTAGGGTTACAATAAAAAGGTCTTTACTGATCAGGAAGTTCCGTTTTTTAAGGGTTGCCAGCAAGTATTACAGGGTCCAAGAGGGTGGGAGAACAACTACTGTATAATTGCCCATATGGTACCAATCTAAAGACGTTCCAGAGGCCACTGCCAGTTAGAATGAAGCTACAGACATAATATAATTCTCTTTTTTTTGTACGTAAATAAGGTTATATACAAATTAAAATTACCCTGTATGAAGATAGCAATAGTAAAAAACTTATAACGAAGTGGTATGGATAACATTAAGGAATTTTGTTTCGACCAGTACGACTAGCATAATATAAGAATTACGTTTGATTACACACCTCCACAAAAATTTTCTAAATGCATCCTTGGGTTAATTCGAACCACTGACTCACAGTCTTCGTCTTCTCCTCCACTGTCTACCTGATTCTGGTAACAACTAATACCAGAAAGGTACCTGTTTATTCTTTTATAACTTATTCGGTTGGAGTAGCATATTTCTTGGTTTTCCGACTACCAAACTGTTACGGAAACAGACAACTACTTATAGTGTAGTATGTATATAAGTATATTTTAAAGAGTTGGAAGTAACGAGGATATTCATTTTCGTTATAAATAGATTTTTAACTACGGACCTTGGAAATTTGTGATGTACACCTGACTCGTTACGTTTAAATGTCACCTGAGTGGTAATAGTGAGGCTTACTCTACAGGTTACGCAGGAGGTGGGTTCCCACCTACGTTCAAACGAACTCCTAACGAAGGGAAAGATTCCAATGTAGTGAACAACGGACCATTTTTAATGTCAAATAATTTTATAAAGATTTATGTAAGTTATTATTGTTTTAGACAGAATTTAACATCTTCTAAATGTTTGGGACCCATCATTGGATTTATATGTTATATATAATTTTAATATGAGTGGTCCCTGAAAAGTGGTTCTCGTTACGAAGACAAGAAAGTGTCAAGTGTGGTCCCTTAAGACCCGGGATTCATTGTTGGGGTGTCCAGACCTAGACACCCGGTGAACTCCTAATTCACCTGAACGAGTTCCGTTCCAAGACGAAAAAGTGAAGGGTGGACCTAAAATGTAAAGCGTTCGAAAGGGTCAGTGTTCGGACGAAGAGATTGGTCATAACGGTGATAACGGATAATACTAGTCTCAAGGAATCTTTTTACACAGAACGTAAGAACGTCGGACCGTTCATTAGCGCCGACAAACACTCCGTTTACCCGAAATATGCCATGAATCTGTCCATGTAAAAGTATTTTTAACGAGGGTCCATATCCTTGTTAAACTATTTTGTCACATAATGACCTACGGTGGCTTATAAGCGGCGGCTTTAATAGCCCGGATTTTTTACCAATTTTCCGGGAAAGCCGAAGCGGCTTTCCAAGAATCGTGGCTTTTTTTATAGTGCTTACAGTTGTCTTTTTTGCCCAATGCAACCCATTTGATTGCACCAACAACACTACTGCATTAGTTTTGCGCCCGCTGTTCGTGCACGGCGCGCCCTGGTACGAGCGCCCGACCGAGTGTCGGTTGTACCAGACCGGCGAACCTCTATAAATTTTTAATAGGTCTCTTTCTCCGCGCCCTAGAATCGCTAAACATTTTGCAACAAGTCGACCCTGAAAGAGCCCCCCACATTGACCGTTTCTGAAAGGTGGTGAACCCCTAATGAGGGTGGTGGAAACTTTAGTTTTGTGGGCCTGGAGTTTATACGCCGTCATTCTAGTTTAGTGTTCCCGTGGACTGTTCGCTCTCCTGACAAGTCGCGACGAGAGTAGCACGAACTACTCTTCTCTCGTCTGAATACCCGACTATTTTTCCGTCTCCTTCCCGATGACAATAATTTTTTTCTTTGGGAGGGTGAAAAAGGAATTGATTCATCCTGGTTCCGCCAATAGTAGTCGAATAAGGATCAAGATGTACAGTGGATATTGGGTGAAAGTGACCTTGTTAAAAGTACCACTCAATATTAAGTGGAGAGACAATAGTAATCCCCCTTTTACTGTGCGTCGTTGTCACCAAGTTATATAACATGAAAGCCTAGATTTATCTATGGTTACAACCCAAATGAAACGAGTACTCCTGCTGGTGGGAAATAAACGTCTAGAGAAATTTACATTAAATTAAACATTAACTAAAACTAAACATAGGTCAAAAAGGTGAAAATACCCATAGAAATATGTCTACAAATGAATGAACCGAAATACTCCTGTCTGTCGGGAATAATGTCCTAAGAACTTTAAGTTTACAATTAAGTAAACATTTACATGTAAGTACACCTAAAAGGTCAAAAGTGTAAACAATACGTACCCGTGAATTATCCACCCGCGTAAACAACAACAAACTTCCCCCGGAACCCGACAATGTTCAGAAATAAATGGTGATCAAACAAACATGGCCGGAAGGACGGATCCTACAAATACGTGCAAAAATTTCGTGGAACCGAAACAAGACCTTAACGTGAAACACGATCAATTAAGGATGTCCTCTTTCTTTACGTGAAAACTGAACCTTAGGTTACAGTGACATACGTAAGTTTTCACGACCCCTTATTTACAAAATAACCCTGGGTAATTTCACTAATAATAAATTCCAATTCAAAACGGTATTAGTAAATAAAAAGGTATGAGTCCATCTACCGACATGGTTTGTAGCAGTACTTACGACAAGTGTTCACCCTATCAACAATACGTGATCTTAAGTCGTACATATACAATACGTTTATAGTATATACTGTCTAATTATGTAATTCTCGTGAAAGCCGGTAAAGCCACATTAGCGGTATGAGCAAAGCATAGATGATATATTAAGCTTTCCCTTCTAATGGTATAAGCCTCGTGGAGTACATATAGATATGGTGTGTTGAAAACGTTCTAATGGTCTACATAACCACATTGGCACACACAGGTTGTTTCATAAGGGAGAATGACCTTCAGTCTAAGTCGACTTGATCTTGACATTCGACATAACTCAACAATTGGAACGATTTATGACAAAAAGTTAACCCCTTTTACACAATATTCACTGTTTGCGACTTTAAGGTCGTCGCGATAGACAATAGACGTCTTGTTAGTTCTTCAGTCTCATTATCACTCTCTTTCGTCGTGTAAGTCGGTAGATAATTTCTCGGTAAGAAATAAATGATACGCATTAATTTCGACCTCTCGTAAATTTTCAATCACTATCACAACCTTAATAGTCCTACCTGTTCTTTGTGATAAAGTTTACATTACCTAGTACAACGAGACATAGGTCGAGCTGCACATGTCATTTACATCGCCGTCCACTAAAGTGGTATGTAAAGTGGTACACTTTAATATATATAAGCACATTGGAGTAGTTATACTCATAAACACTCATTCCAAGGACAAGGGGTAGTGTGTTGTAGTCTATCGTTTTTGGACGTTATTTTTATTTCTACTCGTCTTTAATTTTGATTAGTATTACCATTTACTTTTTTTCCATTAACTAACCGTTACTAATGATTGAACACAATCCGGTTACCTGAGTTTTAGGATGTTTGAGGAAACACTGGTTTGTTACATTGCAAAACAA